CCTCGGTAAGATCAAACAAAGCCACGAGGAGTTAGTTTTTCTCTTTCTGTTGCTCTTGTTTTTCTGTCTTATTCTTATTTTGTCTTTGCTTGTACTTTTTTTACTTTGCACTTTGTGAAACACAAAGAAAAATATCTAAAATGTAAGCGAATTTGGAAGTTATTGAGTTGTTTTTATTTTCCGCGCTCAGGCTGACACAAGTAACTGGAGGTGAAATTTCACCTCCTTAGCAACGCGCAAAAGCGCGTGCATAAATCAGTTAATGGGCCCTTAACCCATTGACTTCCGGAGCTTTTTGCCAAAAATGCATTTTTGAGACATTTTGAATGTTTTCAGCCTGGATATGAGCCAAATTAGCTGCAATATACTTGAAAAGGCATTTGCAACATGACAGCATGCCTTTCTTTACACTGGCATTTTGTTTTAAGACATTTTTCAAAAAAAAGATCTACATCTTTAGGCTTTTCTTTTTTTGCTTGTGCTTTTTCTCCTTCTCTTATCTTTTTGCTGTGCAATGATAGCTTGCTTCCAGTTGAAAAATTCCTATGAAAGCATCATTGAGATGGGCAATTCTTACCATGGAGAGGCCAAGTGTACCCAAAGAAAATTTTGCTCCAAGTTTTTCCCTCAAATTTCTGAGCATTTTCATGCATGGTTCAGGCTCCATTGAATTGATCACCCTGATCTGGTTATCATTGGAAAGGTCTTTTCCTCAGGACTGCAGAACTTGAGTATAGATAATGCCAATTTTGGTCAAAGGAGATGATGTCAGAGGTGGAACAAAGGCCAATGTTTGTCACAGCCAGTTACAGCCAGCACAGGCATCAATGGGTTATTTAATAATTGATATGTACCGGTAGTTTACATACAGAAATAATTTGATGACTCAATCCACGGGCAAACATGAAGAAATAAGTATCCTTAGCAATGCATTACAGGATGATTTTCAAAAGCAGATTGTTCTTTTCACATTGTTTAGCAATTGCATTAATCTAGCAAGGCTATTAAAGCAAAACAAACCAAAGAACCTGGCATGATTTGAAATTTTAATTAGTCACTGACAGACAATTTCACAAACTTGGTTTGACAATGTCCAGTCACTGACTGTTATTTCATACCTCTCTTAGAAGTTTCTTTTCCTCTTTCATTTCAAGTCGTCTCTGTTTCTTAGCTCCAATCTTTCCAACAGGCATTTGGTTGTCAAGCCCCATTGAATAACTATCACCACCGGCACCTGTAGTGACAATAAAGCACATTTAAAGGACAGTATAGTCAAAGGGTCAAAGGCTGGTAAAAGGTCCCGGTGAGAGCTACTGTTGCCACTAGGTAGCTCTCGTAAGTGCTGAGAAACGCCTACCGTCTCAAAAAGGCTCTGCCAGCAAGTCATATGTCACACCTCCACGTTTGGTGACCCTGGTAATACGATGTGGCTGAGTGACAATGGCGAAAGGCAAGCTTCCAGCACCTTTAAATATCTGGTACCCGTGGCTAGGGGAAGGACACCCCGACAGAAAATCCCTGGTNTTGTCGTATGCTTTCTGATTTTTAATTTGAAGTGGTTTGCCGAAGGTTTGTCATAAAAGGGAGATCTGTTGTTTTAGCTACAGTGTCCTATCACTCTGACTGACAAACGGATCTCCTTTATTAACTTTGAAAAATTAAAATAACCCGATTATGCAAAGAAACACAGAAGTGAACATCTGCTTTAATTGTCGCACTTAAAATTTACCGATGGTTTAATTGAATGAGTGACAATGGCGAAAGGCGAGCTTCCAGAGCCTTTAAATATCTGGTACCCGTGGCTAGGGGAAGGACACCCCGACAGAAAATCCCTGGTCCTCCAGGTTGGGGGTTGGGCATGGGGCCAATCACCCCATCCCGTAAAAGCAAGGTGATTACGGAAACCGGAAATTGATGTCAAGGCCACTCTTTGGAGTGTACCGATAACTAGCAAGGAGCGAGATCAGCAGCCTGCTGTCTTACGGGAGACCACTCCATCATCCTGATGGACAGCAGTATGAGGAATGTAGGTGAAAACCGAAAGGAGACTTGCATGCGTATAAGGGCGTTGACTCACCCTAAGAAGAAAGTGAGAGTGAGATGTTGGAACGTGCGTACCATGTGCAGCACCGGAAAGACTGCCCCGGTTTATAGAGAGATGGCAAACTACAAGGTGGACATCCGAGGGATCAGTGAGTGTCGATGGACAGGGTCTGGGCAGGTTATCACACAAACAGGAGTGAATATAATATTCGCTGGCAGAAACGATAACTAACACCAAAGCCATTATGATGAGCAAGGAGGCATTTAGGGCCTTGGAGAGCTGGAACCCTGTGAGCGACAGAATAATAACAGCCAAGTTCAAATCCAAGCACATAAAAACAACTATTATTCAAGTCTATGCACCGACCAATGACGCTGACACCAATGAAAAAGACGGATTCTATGAACTACTGCAACAGGTGTATGACAGGACATCTCGACATGACATCATAATATAACCATGGGCGACTGGAATGCAAACTTAGGGCACCAAATGGAGGGCGAAAACGGAGTGGTTGGTAAGCATGGTTTAGGACGCGACAGATCTGATAATGGTGAAAGGTTCATAGAGTTCTGTGCGGCCAACAGCATGATC